CCCCGCACTTCCCGAGCCCGCGCCGCTTGGCCTCCGCCCCGGCGGCGCGCGGGGTGGAGACGGGTGGGGGACCGGCACCTCCCTCCCTGGGCTCCCTTCCAGGGCCGGGGTAGGTCTGACATTCCCGAATCCCGGTCGCCCCAGGCTCCGGGTCCAGGCCGCCTGCCTCCCGAAAGCCAGGGTCGGGGACCTGCGCCCTCTTTCTGCACCGCCCGCCTCCCCGCTGGTCGAGCCGGCACCAGCCCCCGTGCGCCCCTCCCGGTGCCTGGCTGGTTTGGAGGCTCCTGCGCCCCGCTTCTTCCCACTTCCTAGGGAAGGGCTGCTGCTCACCCTTCCAGCCGAAGTCACCTCCCGTCCAGCCCCAGACATCTGCACCCTTAGGGACCTCTCCCAGCCAATACTACCCCCCGCGGCCTTTCAGCTCCTCTTTCCTCAACCTGCCCCGTTCCCTCGCCCTTGTGCCCCCTCCTCCTCGCCACCCGAGAGTCAGGAGGCTGCTCCAACCACCCTGACAGCCTCGCCTACGCCTCAGCGGGCTTCCGCTGGAAATGCGGATTGTGTAACGCCGGCCTTGGGTCGAGCACGTGCTACATTTGCACCCTAGAACCTGCAGACGGGGAGGGGGGCGCAGGTTGACAGAGCGAGGTAGAAAGGGAGGGAGAGGGTCTAGAGGTTGTGCATCCAAGGATATGTATGTTGAGCACTTTTTGTGCCCCAGGGGCTGGATGGTTATGAAGAGGTCCCAACTGGGACCTGAGGCCAGCATCTGCCTTACCTCTCACCTGCTCAGAAATCCCTCATGGCTGACTCCACCTGGCTAGGAGTTTAAAAATAGTTTATTGTTAATAATAGCTGACAGAATAAGCAAGTACTGTGTGCCAGGCCCTGTTCTAAGCACCCTTAAATGATAACCTGCCTTACTCCTCCCAGCCACCTCATGAGGTTGGTACCAGTGCTATGCCTATTTCTCAGAGGAGGAACGTGAGACCTCCTGGGATGGTCTCTTCCCAGGACACACAGTGACTCTGACCTCAACAACCCCATTCTGTATCACTAGATTTTCCCCCAATTATAACTAATAAATTCTTATGAACAATATTTTTATAATATGGGAAGTTAGAAAGAGGAATTAATAAACTGTGTTCGTAGCACCAGTATATTTTTCTAAAATTAGGTTCTCAGATCAGCAAGGGATCCTTGGTGCCCTAACTCAAGGAAACTGATGCTCAGAGAGGATAAGGATTTGCTGGAGGCCACACAGCTAGAAAGTGCCAGGGGTGGGATGCAAAACAGGTGCTGGGATGGTTAATGGATACTTTTTGGGTTCCCAGTTCCCTAGCCCATCAGCTAGGTCCCTGGAGACTCTCCCTGCTCCCCACTCTCCCTGTTTCCTTTGCTATAACACAGGCAAGTGAACTCACAGTATTTCCCCTGCTGCCTTCGCTTACTCTGTTCCCTCCTCTGGGAATACCCTCCCTGGAATCTCTCATGTCTAAATCTTACCTACCCCTTAGGGTCTTCCTCATCTGTCCCCTCTGTGAACACTCCCCTGATTTCTCCTCTGCCCCCAACTGAAATCTGTGCCTTTCTCCCTTGGGATCCCATAGCTGGGGTCCCACTACCTTTCATCCCCATGATGGCAATTCACCCGCATGGTGGAAAGTTCTACTGCCTGTGTCTGACTTGTCCTCTTAGGTGCAGTTGTGCTGGCAGATCAGAAGTGCTCCCCAACACCCCTCTTTTCACCTGCCTGGTGAAGCCTCAGGACAGAGAGTGGTCCATGGGGCATGGGGTAGTTTCTGAAGTAAAGATAGGCTCAGGATTTCTGAACCCTGAAATACCAAATGCCCCTCATTGAGCTGCAGCTGGATTATAGGGAGAATGGCTCAGTGTGGTACCTAACATTATAATGACATGTTTTGTCTTTGTTCATAACCCAAAGGATTCCCACCAGAAAATCAGAGACTTGGTTCCAAATCCCACTTCTGCCACTTGCTAGCAGTGTGGCCATGGGCCAGTTACCTAACCTCAGCTTCTGGCAACAGTACCTGCTTCAGAAGGCAAGGGTAAGATTGAGATAAAATAAGGCACAGGCATGAGTGCATGTAGTAAGCACTCATTCAACACCAGCTATTATGAAGAATGACCACCCCCTTGAATTACTGGGAAAATAGTAAATCATTACTAAAATTCTCATGCTGACTCTGCTTAGAGGTGGGCCAAGGGAGTTTGGGCCAAGAAGAGATAAGCATTTTTTGTGCTCAGAAAGGCCTATGAGGCTTTCTTCAACTCTAAACCATCTATTGCCTTTGTAATAAGAGCTAGAATTGCCTTTCTATTTTTGAGCTTTAAAAATAGATGAGCTTCGGGTTCTGTGAGGACCCGCACATCTAGAGTGAATGCATGAATGTAGTTTGTGCAATTCTAAGTAATTATGAAACTTAATGATATGAGAAAACAACAGTATGTATTGTTGCCTCAGGCCTAAATTAGGGGACAAGAAGTTTGAATCAGAGGCTGTCTGTGGATTTGGAGGGAAGGAAAACAAGCATGAGTGTTTTATCCTAGTAGGCTAGTAAGCAGCTTAGAGTAAAAATCAGCTTCCTTGTCAAAGTATTTGGAATATGCTAGGAAACTAATTTTGCAGGATGATTAAAAAATTTATTTTAGAATTTCTCCTAAATTGATTCTTTATTAGAATAAGTTAGAATCCCATTTGAGAAATTAAAGACTATTGAGTTTAGATATTTTAAGACATAAATGTTGTAAATTTCACAGTTCTATGGAATTTAACAGGCTATAGGACTTTATTCCTGTGACCCTGTAGGGACATAAACACTTTTTTTGTACTACCCAATATGGTGGCCACTGGCCACTGTGTGACTATTTAAATAAAAATTTATTTAAGTTAAATAAAATTCAGAATTCTATTTTTCATTTACATTAGCCACATTTCAAGTGCTCTGATGGCCACGTGGCCAGCGGCTACTATATTAGGCAGAGCAAATAGAGAACATTCTATTTTCACAGAAAGTTCTATGGGATTGGACTGCTTAGATCAATATGGCCATGGGGAAGCTGCTCGATTATGGGTTTAAGTTCTGTTCTTTCTGGAAAGTCATCTGCAAGCAGGCCAAGAAATGGAGTGTGCAGAGGCTGTTTCATTGTCAAGAATGGAGATGTTAATAAATCCCCATAGTCTCATTTTGGCTGGCTGGCTCAGTGGCTTTAACACTGCCAGATTCAAAGGATGGGGGAGAGGGTGGAATCAAATGAAATGTCTGAGGGCAGTACTTCTCCACCCCTCCTGCATGTTCGAACAGCCTGTGGAAGTTTAAAAGAATTGCTCCTGCCTGGCCTTTGCCCCAGCCAACTAATCTGAATCTCTAGATGGGATCTAGGAATTCCTATTTTTAAAAAGCTCCCTTGGGGATTCTAATTTGTAGCCAGGGTTGAAAACAACTGCCTTCAAAACTGTAAACTTAAAAAAAAAAAAAAAA